GGAAATCCAGTTTAATCTGTCAACTTCACATCAAGCCCAGATGTCTTCCTAAAGGACTTGCAGTACCTTAGCCATAGGCGGCTAAGAGCTACTGGATGATTTCTGAGCAAGGGCTGGAGCATCCCACCGGCCTCAGCATTAAATAATTTGTTTGATGGTCACTGTTGGTGACTCTCAGAAGTAGGTGAGTTGGAAGTGCCACGTCTAACAGACCCAGATTTGCACCATATTCATTCAAGGGTTGGGTCTGCTGAAAAGAATTACCTCTCCTGAATTAAGTAGTGTTTTTTCAGCTGCAGCTGTCTCATCGTTTACAAGCAAAACTTTCATAGACTTTTTCTGGGTTTTATTGTTTTCCCATGGAAAGAAATACCTTGTAAAGAAAAAAAATCCCCATTTTTTTTGTTTTAAATAAAAGTTTGGATGGGCTTTTTCCTCCTTCCCCTAAGTCTTGGTAGCTATTCTTCCTTTAATTTAAGCAAGGTTTATATCAGTTGATGTTATTCTTGTGCTTACTTGACTTGAGGTAAACACGACTAATCCTGCTTAAAACTGAACTAAGAATATCTACACAGTTTAATGAAATGGATTAAAATTTTACCTCATATTAAACATTAACAACTTTTCTTGTTCAGACAAGCCCTGGGAGGCTGGAACAATGTTACTCATTTGCCTTCAACATCACTAAAATTTCTTTGAAAATAAGCAAATTATGCACTTGTGCAGAAGGCAGGTCCCTTTGAAATGGTGGTGCTCATGGGAGATCTGGCTCCCTTCCTCCTTTGGATAAAAAGAGGGTTTCTTTTCTTTTTTAGATTTTATTTTCTTTTTAGATTTTATTTTCTTTTGGAGTTCCTTATTAAAACAGCACTGTTCTTTCTGTTCCATTCATGGTGTTTCTCCAGGGGAAAAATCAGCCTAGCAAGAATTAAATGCTCCTTTATTTAATTTATATCACAGGCTGACCTCAGCTCTCATGCAGTCACACCACACACCTGGAAATGGAGATGTCAAAGTGTGATGGGAAAGCCAAGATTTTCGCACCAGTTCCTGTACAAATGAAGTGATGGCTTTGTTTCAATTTATTCATTTTTCAGGTGGGAAAGAGAAGTCACATTATTTCAAGTTTTGGTATGTTTTGAATCACTTCAAAGATTTCAGGAGCAGGCTGAATTCCCCACAGTTCCCATTTCTCCCATCCATAGATATGCGTGTACACATAGTTTGGTGTTTTGGTGGTTCTGTTTCTCAACTTTCTGCTGACACGTGGAAACACTAAAAGGTGTTTTTCTTAAATAATAGCCCATTGTTCCTGCTGGTTATGAACCCTTCACATAAAGTGAGATCAAACCCTGCAGAGTTCATGCCTTTAGACACCGCAGATGCTGATGCCTTTGCCACCAGCACTGAGTTGTCTGGCAGCTTCACACTTCACGTGTCCCGAAACGCAGCACACAGAGTCACCTGATGAAAGATAAAAACAAAAAACAAAACAGAAGCAAAGATGGTTATTTTCGGGGTTAAAGACAAAAATTAAATGCTGCACGAGGCCACACCACTATATATTAAAAGCAGCGTTGCCTGCGAGCTACCGCCGCGGTGGCAGCCGGCTCTAGAGCGGGGCAGGAACTCGTAGAACAAGACTTTCTAAGGAAACTGGGAGATGTTCCTGGTGACTTCACTCCCTTCTAGCTACAGATAGGATGAGGCGGGGACTCAACACAGCCAGTTGGATCATTATTACCCAAACACACACATAGGTGTAGTCTGTGCCCCGAGGAAATTATAACTCAGGACAAGCTAACGCAGGCACTCCTGCGCCGGCTGGTGCCAGTGGGGGTGGCATGCAAAGGTGATAATTGAAAGTTGTTGGGTTTTGGGGTTTGTTTGTGTGTCTTTTTCCCCTCCCTGAGTCAACAGGAGGTTGTTTTCTACCTTCTCTTTCTTCAGTGAAGGTGACAGCTTCTGTTCTGTTGTGATGTATCTTGGTAAGACAAGCAGTTGGCCATCAGGACTGTGTCAGAAGCATCACCTGGCACCCAGGGAACAAGGGTAGGAAAGTCTGGAGGGAAGGGGCAGTAGGTCCTGTCTGTGGGCAGGTATAGGGACCATGTTTACAGAAGCCAGGAGAGAAGTGATTCACTTCATTCATAAAAGTCTGAACTTCTGATCTGGTCTCCAGAGGAAAACACAAGGTAGGAATCGCTTGCCTTTTGAAAAGAGAATAGTGCATGAAGGCAGAGGGTGTGTCAAAGGAAAGGGACAATTGGGGGAGAAATGCAAGTGAAGTGGGGTGCTGACTCTAAGGACAGTCATGCTGCACCCCAGCCATGGATATGGGCTTGACATCAGCCCTCTGGTGCAGCAGGACCTCAGCCTAACCTGTCCTCTAGCTCCATGGCTGAATGCTGGTTTCACCTTTACAAACAGCTGGGTGAAACCTTCGGACACCCAAAACAAGGCAGGTTTGGAGCATGAGAAAAACAGGTCTCTGCTTGCGGGATGAATCTCCTTCCTCCCCCTCCCTTGATTGAGAACTTCATATCCGAAAATCATTGAGCAGAAGTACAACAGCTTCAGCCTCTGAAGGCTGCCAAGCATTCTTGCTGAGTGAAGCTGTTTAGGTACACCGAGACATGGCCGAACCTAGCGCTTGCGTAAACCTTTCTTACCCTGGAACAAAGGACCTGCTCCCATGGCAGTCAGGTGCATGCACGAATCCCTGCCTTTGAAAACACGCTGAACCGGTCTCTGTGCAAAAAAAGACAGGTTTGACCAGAATGTCCCCTTGTGCAGAAAGGATCTGCCAGCCAGGCCCCAGCATCAAAGGCAGACGGCTGGGTGCTCCACAGCCTCCGATTAGCATCAGCATGAGCAGAGCCCAGGTTTTGCAGTACTAAAGGCCACAACCAGCATCCAGCCTCAGGCTCCAGCAACACGTCTTGTTTGCATGAGCACATCTGAGTTTGTTCATCTGTCTGCCTCGTCAGGATCACTGCAGGGAGCTACAGCATGCAAACCCCAAAGTCTCCTGGCTGCTCAGCACCCCAGCAGGAAGGATGAAACACCACAGCACCAGCAGTGCAAGGTGCAAGCATCAGATGCACCTGCAGACACTGCAGAAGTGGTTGCCTCAGGATCCAAGCGCTCGTATGGGTTTGGGTTTGTTTTCTTTTCCATTTCACCCATTTCTCTTTCACTTCCTTCCTGCCCCTCAGGAAGTGCTGGCAATAGATACGCCCTGTCGCTGTGCTTAGGGCTTGAGGTATCTACACCTCTGCTCCTTTGGCTTTCACTTCTCTGTGGGGTTCCATTGAAATGCTCATTTAAAATCAGTGCTCATTTCCTTCTGTATCACCAAAACATTCCTCTGTGCTTTGCTATCCAGAAAGGTCTCCATGGACTGTGACACCACATATCACCTTCTCCCACCCACGCCTCCAGTAATTATCACTTCATTTAATTCCCAACAGTCAGTACGGGTGAGCCCCACCAAAGCTGCACCCACCCACCCAGCACACGCTGCCGTGCAAAGCTGCCCTTACCCTCCCGGGATCGGATGGAATCCGACAGCACCGGAGAGGCAGACAGGAAGCAGAGGAGGAAACGACCATTGCTCAGCCAGAAATAGGACTTGGCACTGCTGATGCTCAGCCTCATGCTATAGTGTCCAAACCTGTTGCCTTCTATACATTTATCCATGGCCTTTTCTCCCTCTCGCCAAGATGACCTACACATCCTGAGTGAGGTCCCATGACTCGCTGGCCCCACAGCCCTGCCCTGGCTCTTATCACCTCCTGTGCTGTTTCCCCTCTGACACTTCTCCAAGCCCTCCTCTTTCACCCAGACATCTGTATTCCTGTTTTTTCCAAGTAGCTGGGGTTAAGATGCAAGCAAACACTTTTCTCAGCCCAGGGCTTGCTGCACCAGAGTCAGCTCTGCACATGAAGGGCTCCATGGGGCCAGGCTCCTGCCAGGCACAGGCAGACATGGCAGTGTTTCCTCCTCCCATGTGGATTAGTTATATCCAGGCAACATATTTTGGAGATAAACTGGAGATTAAGCGTCTGTCCTCAATAGCCATTGCCCTAAAGCTGATGTGTAACCTCTACAACCCACTCAATCCCCAAACACTTTTACACTCAAGTCACACATGGCACCATGAAAACTTTCTTTGCATTTAGGACAGGTGTGGGTTTACGAAGTTTTTCCACATGTAATAAAATATTACTTCTAATTAGGATAATAATAGCAAGTGCTAGCTGAGTTCTGCTGGCTTAATTTCCACCTGCTCTTTATTTGCAGTTTGATGTGGTATTCACTTCCTGTCATGCATTCTTGCATATTATTTCTGTGCTGTGTTATCTCGCTGATGTGGTTCACCCAAGGAGTGGTCGAAACGCAGCTCTGACCGTGTGTCACCACCAAGAAGTTCATTTGCTTCTGTAGGAGGAGGAAAATAACAATAATAAAAAAAAATAAAATCAAGGCTGCCTCGTAACTGTATGCTGTGCACATGTGCCTTTCTGAGAACATGTTGTTGTGGCATTTTTTTTTTCTTCTTTTCCCCTTCCACCCACACTTGCAACCCAGTGAGCTGCGTGGTTTTTTGTTCAGCTGCAAAGTGTCTGTTTTTCATGGAAAAGGTGTTTGTGCAGGGAGCCCTCCTAGGCAGGGGCTGTCCAGGACAGCCAGCAGCTGTTAATTTCTTTAAATAAACATTGCTAAAGATGCCCTCAATAAAATGGGATTTGCTTTAAGACCAGGGCTACCAAAGAACAGATCAATGCAAAAACCCCATGAGTGTCCCCAGCCAGGAGGTGGTGGGACTTTCTCACACACCCATTGAAAGCACCATCGGGTCCTTTTTATCTAGATGTCCTCCTGAACCATCACATCCCCAAGTGTCATCCAACATTCACATCACAATCCCAACTGGGCAGGGACCTTATTTCTCTGGCAAGGGAAGGGCAACCCAAAGGCAGAACACAATGTGCACCAGGATGTTTAGTTGTGTTATGAGCTTTTATTTAAAAAGCACATTTATACAGCAATAATTTCGCAGATACAAACTTCAGTTTTGTATTCTACAAAAGTCTTTGAATATTCTTCTCTTTACAAAATGGAACATTACAAAAATACAGACAATTTAATATGATTTTTTTATACAAGTGTCTCTAATTGTAGTTATTTTCATTAAAATATTACTACCACAGACCTACAATATTTTAGTCGACTATAAAAAAATTAATTCAATGCTTTTTTAAGCAGCAAAATGTAAATAACACAGGTCAGGACACAGTTTATAGTCATAGTGGATATATCTAAAATTGTTTCAGAAATAATATTTTACATAGTTAATTTTTAAGGTTTTATACATTATTTATATAATATTTATAATATAAAAAAAATCATAGCTTGCTATAAGTTGAAATGATAGGACGGATTCTGTAAGAAGGATGTGCAAATGGCCGTTCTGCATGTTTTGCGGGATCCCTTTGCAAACGCGCTTGGTGAAAGGGCTGCAAACCAAGAACCTGTGGTTTCTGGGCGAAAAAAATTAGTCATCACACTCAATATCGGCACAACTGATTTACCACCAGTGTGACCCAGCGGAGCACAGGACCTGGTACCTGCCATGGCGCACACCGGGGTGCCCAAGGGAGGAAGAGGAGGAGGAGGAGGAGGAGGAGGAGGAGGAGGAGGAAGGGATGCACAAACCGACTGACACCCAGGCCAGGACGTGCCGCCCAGCAGCCCGTCCCAAAACTGCAGAATAAAAGTTTCCCCAGGACTCAGCCCCGAGGTTGTAGTGCGAACGAGTCTTCGGCAGAGCCGCCGCTACCCACTTGCAAACCGCCAGCTCCCGTGGGCACACAGAAAATCTGCTGTGATTTTTTTGGGGAGGGGGATGGCCAGGAAGTGGAGGATGCTCTTTTCATGAAGGGCCATGTTGGGGGTTCAGACAGGATGAACCCTCACCAGGGAGCGAGCGGAGAGGAAGAAATGTGGCTTCTCTGCGCGGAGGAGGGAGATCTCCAGCCTCACTGCGCGTCTCAGGGCCGCTTGTTAAAGGCAGGTAGTGTGAACAGAGAGAACAGAGACCCTTTGGAGATCTTGGATTGGGCAAGCTTCTTCTAAATTAAGTCACAGTATGGAATAGAGGAGGCAAAAATAAACTAGGATCAAAAAGAGAAAAAAGCATCTCTTACAAACCAACCCCAGATCTTGACTCAGTGCTGTTGCTTGTATATAGTGCTATACAATTTAGACATGAGTTGTTTTTTTTCTCGCAGGCATTGGAAATCTTCATAGTAAGAAAAAACCTAGGATGGCCAGCTTTCCAAAAACCCCTTAGTGTTCATTGGGCTATGAACAATTTGGCGTTCACTACAACATGAACACTCAAACCAATTGCACATCCAGAACTCCGGCACCTCTCTTTGTTTGTTCGGCTTTTGAGTTTTGTGGTTTTTTTCTTTCTCATTGTCACCTTTGCCTTAGTTGACCACCACCACCCCTTTCATCAAAATGTCGCAAGTTGAAAAGACCACAGAGTAAGACTTTACTGGTCGGGCAAGAAAGTCTCTCCCTACATTCTACTGTCTGATGAGATTTGAGAGCAGCAGGTAGTTGCTGTCAGCAGTCATTTTTTTGCCAAAAAAAAAAAAATTAAAATAAAATACAACACCCATCCGATTTCTCGAAGTTCTACACCATGTTGTGATGGTTATTCCTCTCAATGATGTCCACAGGTGAAAGGATCTCCTTCCGGATGGGTGGTGGAGGCAGGCAAGTCTTTGTCTTGGGCTTGAAGAGATCTGAGACGTAAAACACCTGTAGAAGGAAGTGAAAAAGGTAAACTTAGCCACACTGGGTGATGCTTTGTTTGAAAAGTTGGTTTACAGAATATATAGACATCTCTAATCTGCAAAAGTAGCTCTTTTTGTGGTATTGAATGCCTGCCTGTAACACCAATAGCTGTGAAATCCCAAGTGCCTGCTACCACCTTTCTGTACAGTGCAGAAAAAGGCTCAAGCCTCTCAAAACAGTGTAAAAACATGACGGAACAACTTAATTTCTCACTGCGTAATCACCGAGTGCAACACCCAAACCTCTGCTGAATGGGTTGAAAAGCCAGGAAACAGATACACGACCTCCACTCCAATAAAATAACAAAGGTCTCCAAAGGGCTGTCCTCCCTCAAGGCACGTGGTTTCAGGGACAGAGTCAGTGTGAAACAATTCATTCAGCCAGATATGAGGTAGGCAATTAAAAGCTTTCAAATCAAAGCTGTGTTAAAAGTTATCAGCAATGAGTCAATGGTGAGTGATGCTCCTCATGCCCCCACCAAAGTACCGATACAGAGTCAGGGTTTGGTCTTGAAGCCAAAGGCTAAGGAGTGGAGGAGTTATTCCTGGCTACTTCTTCCTAAATATCCCGTGATGTAAGCCCTCTCCAGGATGTGAAAAAGGTTGGCAATTTCGGAAGGTAGCAACACAATAAGAAACAAAATGCTGGGAGGAAACTTCCACATCCTCTTTTGGCAGCCACCGCACAAAGCTTATCAGTCCTCCAGGACCGGGGCACTTTCACCCTTGCTAGAGCTCAGCCCTGTTCCAGAAGGGAAAAGAGTCAGACAGCACAGATCCTCTGGACGGTGTGAGAAGTGGCAAAGACTCATAATTTTGTTACCTGGCACCAAAGCCTCAAGCTTCCGTCCTGCCACCAACTGCCTCTGTCAGCCCAAATTGGCCAGCTCATCTTGGACATCCTTAAGCCCTGATAATCTGGACCAAGCTGTGGGTTTGCTAAAATGAAGTCCCAGGATGAGCAGCACATGGCCATAGGAATTAGCAGTACATTTGTGTTTTCTCCCACAGTACTCTAATGCAACATTTAAGCAACCAGATAAATCAGGTGAAAAAGTAATTCCAAGATGCTCAAAGAATAATATTAGATCACTACTTCCAGGCTGGGTAACACAGGAAGGAAGCAAAGGTTTTCCCTACCTGCATCTCCATATTTTCTAACTACCCAGAGCCCTGTGCAGCAGGTCTAGTTGTCCTTGGAAACAACTTCGGCAAGTCCCTATCAGCAGATAAGGCACCAAGCTGAACAGACAGCAAACCTGTTGTAAGCAGCAATTTACTCCTACAGTTGTAACTGGGAATGCAGGAAGCTGAGCTGTTGTTGCTTGGCTTTTATTGCTTTGTGGAAAAGCAGAGAAGGAGACAATTTATAAAACAGTTCTTTTTTTAGTGTATGTGCTGGTGTCTGGCCATCTAATCGTATAACAGAGACCATAAAGTTGTTTACAGGGCATCCAAGTGGCACCATTTGTACCTTTGGTTAAATAACAGGATCCAGCTGACCTCACCAAGGATCACAAGCTGGAGTCTGGCCTCTTGCTGCAGCACTATGCTGTAAAAGCATGTTGAACTGCTCTGGCACTGGGTTTCTTTTGGATTGTTAATAACTCTAACCCCCCCATTTGGCTGGTTTGGTGCACTTCTGATACCAACTCAAATACTTGTCCACCTTGGAGAACTGGATTCAATCAAAAAGATGTCGAACTTCTGCACCAAGATAGCCATGACAAATCAATTTATGGGAGGAGACTGCTGAGTGCAAGAAGCATATGGGGATTGCACTGAGTTTGGTCCTTATTTTGGACAGGAATGAGTTATGGTGGAGTGTCATCCTGGGTATTTTAGCTGTTACTGTGCTGCTTTTCAGGGTTTCATTCAGAGACTGGTTAAGAGGTTTCATTTCTCTTTAAACTGTATTTCACTTTAACATGGCTGGAGGTTATATAAACATTTATAGGAATCATGAAACGTGATCTATGGGGGTTAAAAGTGTGTTAAATCCTCCTAATGCTTGAACTGTTTAACACAAAAAAGGACTAATAAACGTGTGAAGTTTTTCACTTGGATTAGCTCCATTTCCTGTAGAAGGTGCTCTCCACCCATAAAGAAAACTTGACAGGAGAAGGCTGAGAGCATTTTATACAAGTAAGCCAATATCTTATATTCCAACTTAACAATTCCTATTACTTTTCATTATGTTGAAGAAATTTTTAATCATATACAGAGGTTAAAACAACTCATCTAAGCTAACCAGAGCAACACTGGGAGCATGTCCTTCCAACATCCCCCTTTTCTCTCTCCCTCAGATGAGACATAAACTACACAACACATAGCAAGCATATAAAAACTATTTCTATTTAAGAAATCCTCATCGTATTTCATCCTGGATCCAAGTCTGAATGTTTCATCAGCTGGAAGTGCTTGACATTAATGTCTTCTGCTTGTTATTTCAGGCACTGAAAGACAAACGTGTCTGCTGCAGCACGACCTGGATTTAAGCTCTGGCAGCCTTCATAGATGAAATCCACGATTGGTTTCTTCTGAAAATTATGGCCTGATAACTGTGGTGTTTTAACAGCTCTTGACTATCAGCAGAGTGGACTCCTGAGTGCTTTGCTGGGGAAGGGGTGGCTGAGAGCACCCAGGGTTGGAGGTGATGAGTCTCCAGGTCTCTCCCTCTGCTTCAGAGGCCTGGACACAAGAGCTGGGCAAGAACCACCAGAACATACCAATAATTTTAGCAAAAAGCTGCTAAACCACTCATTCAATGAAAACTCCAGGGAGTGCCAGGATGACTCTTCTTCTTGTCCCTCGCTGCCACGCCCCAAGATGGAGGAAAGTCTGCCAGCCTCTCCTAGGCAAAGGGTCCCACCAGCAAAGCCAGGTTCTAGAGAACAGCAACATACCTGATGGTTCCTTGCAAGCTGATGAAATGGGACAAGGGTTGGGTTTAAACCCTGCCCTGAGTACTAAGCTGCGGCCTGAGACATTCCGAGTCACTGAGCTATGCCTGCAAAGGCCTTGGAGACAACTGCCCCTTCCACAGGCCAGCTGGGAGAGCAACACAGGTTGCCCCAGCCTTGCAGGCAAACCAGAGCCTGCCTGGGAAACTCCAGGCAGCTGCTTCCTATGTCAGTTTACCTCGACACAGGAAAACTAACCCAGCACCGCCACAGCCTCCCCTTCCCAGCACAGCTTCCAGCTGCCGGAGGGCTGGGAGGGGACAGCTAGGCCTGCTGCTTGTCCCAGCCAGGAAGCAGCCGGACACCCATCCCGAGCATCCGGAGAGCTATTGTCTTTCTGAAACCGCTGCTGGGATCCTGGGATGGATTGTCTGGTCCCTACTCCCCTTATGTATTGCTGTTATTCCACTTCTCAAGCATAAAGACACACACACTTCTCTCACTTCCCCCTCTGGATTTGCCAGCTCCGCATGGGACACCAGCATCAAGCAGTGGGAAAACCCAACAGCTACTGCTCAGAGAGTTAATAATACTTCATAAAAACTTTCCAACAATGACATTTTTATTTCAGCTTTGGAATATTATCAATGAGTGGGAAGTACATAAATAACCTATTCTCTCTCCCTGCAAAATGTAACATTAGTGAACTTAACTCCTTGTCTCCTAGACTGACATACTTTTAGATCACCTAAAAAAAAATTTTAAAAAAACAACCCAAAAAGTGGTGAGCTGTTAAAATCTTGCTTTCGGGAGTTTGCACAGACACAGAAACTACCACAGCCTCCACCTCCTTTGTGTCTATCTGAGGCAGCTGCCTGACCTGGTGTTCCCCAATCTGCCAGATTTAAACATCTTCATGTGTCACTTTGAGTTGCGGGGCTGTGCAATCAGGTCACCCTTTGGAAAGCAAATGGCATGAAAACAAGCCCAGCAGCCGAAGACAAGAGGGTACAGCTTTTGTTTGCCACTTTCTCACAAGCCCTTTTGCTCCATGAAAACCCACCACCCATCAAGGCAGTCTGCCTCCCCTTATCGGGCAGACACAGCTCCCATACCCGGGAACAGCTTCTGGATGGATTGTACTGGGAAGTGCCATAATCCCAACTACCCCAGACTCTGCTTGCATGCTGGTGGAAAGCCTTGCTAATGAGCCAGTGCTCATTACTGAGAACAGCTGGAGAAGCCAATGCTGCTGGGCAAGAGGGAAATACTCTCCCCCTTGACTGAATGCTTTCCCAGCACCCTGATCTGCCTGGACTGAGCCTCTGGAGAATGCTGCCTCCTGTCACTTCCTTGGATCTTAAGGGGAGTTACCTGAGATGGCAGAGGCATCTGCTGTTCCCCAAGGACCCTCCCAGCATCCCTGGTGCCATTCCCTGCCCGGTTTTCCATACTTACCACGCAGTAAGCCACCAGGGCTCCCTGTGCAAAGCCTGCCAGCACGTCGGTGGGGTGGTGCTTGTGGTCTGACACGCGGGACAGGCCGGTGTAAAATGCCATCATGATGAGGGTGAACTGGAGGAGGGGACGGAGCAGGCGGGCTCCCTTCCATGTGAATCTGGCCTGCAGATAAAACTGTGGGAAGAGAGGAAAACAAAAAGGTTGTGTAATGATTTGCCCAAATTTGCCCAAAATATGCACATACAGTAGGAACTGCTCTGTGGGGCTGGCTGTGGGGAACCCACAACCCTGTGGGTCAAGGAGGGGGGAGCTGTCAGAAAAGAAGGATGCTCCTTGCACATATGTGGCCTCCATCATGCAGAGCAGAGTGGAGCTGGAGGGATTTTAACTCGTAGAGGGGATGCAGACAGAGGTGGATGGGTGCAGGTCCTCCTCAGTGAGCCAGGATCAGGGGTTTGGGAATCCCTGCATCCCGGTTCACACTGTGGCCCCACTTCAGCCTCCACACAACATCCCATGGGGCTGAGTAAGGAAATTCCTCTCCATCGCTATTTACTATGCAACAGAAGCAAGGTCCCAAATTTGGGGTATGTAGGACTCACAGCATCTCTCAGAGGCAAAAAAGGAATCAATGCAGGATGCTACACCTTCAGAGCCAGGCCTGAGAATTTCTAGACATGGCCACAACCACTGATGATGTGCACAATGCCATCCTCTAACATGGGAATTCCCTCACTGGGTGGGAATGACATGCAAAGTCCTGGCCCAACCCAAAAAGGTGATGTAGACATGATGTCAAATAGGCATTGTACCCTTGTCGTGACTATCTCAGGCCCGTTTCCGTTTTAGTTGAGGGTCATGGCTGGTTCCTGTGGGAACCAGGAAGCTGGGCGGGAAGAGAGGACAGGAAAACGGCAACTCACTGCCCATAGATGAGCACAAGGAGGAAGGCTACGGGAAGGGAGGGAGGGATGCCAGAGCAACCTTCAGGCTTGGGGAGCAGAGAGACTCAAAGAGTGTAAAAGGTGTGGCAAATGCAGCTCAGCTCCTGCAGCTCAGACCCACAGCCCATGGGCTCAGCTGCTGTAAGTCTGTTCTGCCTGTTTTTAAATGAAGCACTAGAAGTCAGACCTGGTGTGCTTCAAGGGACTCTGCAATGTCAGAGGAAAGGGGTTTAATTCCCATTTATGATCCCTTTTACACACCCAGAGCACTTTGCACTGCCTTAATATGAAGGGAATGAAGCTCTTGCTGGGTTCCCTGAAACCACAAATAACTTAATGACACCATTTACCTATAAAAGCAGAACTAATTGGGAAGCTGATAAGGGGGAAGCATCATTTTGGCCAATTTAGTACGCTTGGCTGTTGCATAAACATTGTATTTACCCCTTTTTAGAAAGAACACACACTGGGCTCTTCAGAAGAAACGAAACATCATGTCGTTTAAATGGAGCAGATGCTCCAAATTATCCAAATTGTTATCCAATTAACATGGAAGAGAGCAGCACCAAAACAGCTTGGTGCTGGCTAATGCACACTATGATACTGGGGAATATACATGCAAACCAGCCCGAGCCTGGGAATGGAGCCACATCCCCACAGTGCACACCCCACACCATGAAAACGTGTGCACACAATGTACGGGATGAGTTTCAGCTCTCAGACCCCACAGCAGACCCACGCTGATGCAGCCCAGCATCAGCACATAGACCAGTGGGGTGGTTCTCTAGTTTGTGACGATAATTTTCATTGCCATGGTATTTGTGCACCCAGTGATCTGTCCCTGAGAGTAACTGTGCAGGCACAATACAGTTGTGGATGCCCCATCCCTGCAAGTGTTCAAGTCCCAGGGTGGATGAGGCTTTGAGCAACCTGGTCGAGTGGAAGGTGTCCCTGCCCATGGCATGGGGGTTGGAACTAGGTGATGTCTAAGGTCCCTTCCAACCCAAACCATTCTAGGATTCTATTTTCATGTTCGAGAGCCTCAGCTCAGCCCAGGTGACAGTGCAAAATTCAGGTTCAAGTATCTGCTGAAGAGCAAAGTTAGCTGCAAGTATTATATATTATAAACCATCACTCTTAGTTCTACCAGGAAGACTTGAAACCTGACATCTTATTTTAATCTTGTGTCTCTGTCACATCAAACCCCTTAAGAAATAAATTTGCTGCCAGATAATCTGACATTTGTCACTTTAGCAGAGTCTTGACACCTCCTTAAATCATTCCATCCCACAAGCCTGGACTAAACAGGTCATTGAGAGGTGAGGATGCAAAGTATCAATTAAAAATTAGCAATAAAAAGCTAATACCAGGTTTGAACACCCAATAAAACAGACACTTTTGGGGCTGAACTGTGTGCCTAACTACATACTTTAGCCCTGGAAAAGGAGTGCAAAGGCAGTGTGGCACCATACAGGGTGTGCTGGGTGTCACTCAAGCCCCCAGCACTCAACTCACACCCACACATGCATATCTTGGAGGAGTAAAACCCACAGATGACCCTCAGACACTGCACTAACAGTGTGAGGATCTTTGCTGACTTCCTTTTACTGCCACAATAAAGGTCATGGAAAAAGTGCTCTTTATTTCCCCACTCACAAGGAAAAAGAAAAAGAGGGTAACAACACTTCTCATATTCCATAAACATATTTTGAACATGCAGTATTATGGAAACTGCTCTGAAACACCAGGGTGCTGAGGATCCCCTAAATACTTTCAAGGTAAGACTCAGAGTGCTCCAAAACTTGCCTCTGCCCTTAGTATGAAAGTAAAACCCAGTTAATAAGAGAAGATCAAAAAGTGAAAGTAGAATTTAGGGGCTGAAAAGATTAGAATTTCCCTAAAGCAGGAATTAGTTCTATTTCCAAGAAGTAGGAAGTTCCTGGAAATTTATCTGAAAATCTGCTTATGAAGGTGTTTTGTGTTTTTTTAAACCTGGGATCAGATCTGAAGTGCTGCCTGCTATGGACTGCCAGATTTGTATGGGAATGTATGGCTGGATGGAGCCCTTCCCGAGAGGGGGTGGAGGAGCAAGACCACAGCCAGGGTTATTTCCACTGCAGATCATCACAGGGCAGTGAAAACCAGGAGCATCAACAGGAGAAAGGGTGGATGGAATGATATGAAATGGGATCATACAGAGCAGGAGTTATTTGGAATTCCCATCCACTGTCTCCTGGCAGAGGCTGAGTTACCACAAAGCAGATGGCTTGAGGGATGTCACATCACTCTTCTTGTGCCAGGGGACTTCCACAGTGCTGGTTGGGACAGCCCACAGCCACACACAACCCCTGGGCAAACCCATCGAGGAAGAGCTGGCAGGGGACACCGTCTAAAAGAGTCATGTCCAGCCTCCCGGGGCTTTCTGCTATCCAGAAATCCCATCCTGTTCACACTCTCCCACCACAAGGCTGAATTCCCTCAACCACGACCCTTAGTCACACCTAAAGTTTCTCTCTGGGAAACAGCTGGGCTTGTCTCTGGCTGTCTGACCTGAAGTGACCTCCGCCTCCAGCCCCATCTGCAAAGAGAGTGGTGCCTAAAGTGGTACAGGGACAAAACCTCTCAAACCCAGACTCACTCCGGTGTAACATATTGCCCTGGCTGGACAAAGTCAGCTAGAGTACAGGGAATGCAGAATTTGGCTTTTAGCACCAAGATGGCTAGAAGAGAAGGACAGGAGATGGGCAAAAACCTCTCAGGACAAAAGGCATGTGCTGTTTGTTTCTTCCCTGCCTTTGCTGAGCATACAGCATCCTCCCACTCCATCAGGAATACCCCCATCAACTCAGCAATGCAGTTGACACCTCAGCCTTGGCCTCTGATGTGATTCCAGTTTATTCACTTACTTAGGTAACCGCTAAACTTGACTCCACAAGTCCACAATCACCACAGGGGTTCCTTCACAAGGGCACGTCATCGCTCAACAGCACCAGGTCACTGGACCTTCTCCACCCTTCAGCAAGAAGTTCCAGTGAGAAGCCTCATGCTCCCCCTCACAAAACCAAAAACATCTCTATTTTTTCATTTAAATCAGTAGAACACACCACAATCCATTCTGATCTGAAGTCTTCAGCCTCACCCACCGACACACAGTAAATACACAAGCTGCCCTGGTTTACTTGCATTTTATCCAGAATTAGTAAACATTGTTGAGGGATATTAATTTAGATTTTCTGATACTTAAATTTAGCTTTTCTGCACCCTCTGTGTGGTTGGCTGTGATGTCAGGCAACTTCATGCTGCAAAAAATATCAGCGTTATGGTCTCACATGCTTGAGGGGTGCAGAAAGCATCCACTGCTCTCTGCAAAGACTCCCCCACATCCAGAGAAACAAAACCAAGAAGTGTGGGTCAGGTCCAGAGGGCTGCCTGGAATAAGCTGTTCCCTACCTCCTCTTTCCTCAGCCTACTATAAATATATATTACAGCTCACTCAGCCAAGGAGTAACAAAGCAAGGAAAATTAAGACAAAGAGGATTACCCAAGTGTAATTTCCCTTTTTAAATTTTTTATACAAAGGCCTGATGTTAATTGAGTATTCCTGGTGACAAGAAGGCTGCAAGAAACTTAGCCCTGAAGTCTCAGCATTCAGAACGAAATCCCAGGGGATTTTCCTGTATTGCAAGTGCCTTTCCCTGGGACTTTTCCTCCAAAGCCCTTCAGGGCTTGGCATCTATTGGTGTTTTCCTACCAGGAGCCCATGGATAATACAGGGCTCTGCTGCTGGGCTGGGAAATGGGGAAGCCATGGTCACTCATCCACTGCCCAAAAAATACCTGGACAAATCCATCTCCATGGTGCAGTCAAAGCCCTGTGGGATGCGTGGGAATTTGCGTATCTTTTAATAGACTGGCTGAATTTTTCTGGCACCCGTCTCCATCAGGTGAGGCAAATATTTTAATTCAGAATGGGATCTGAGAGTGAAGCCAGGCAACGCCAGGAAAGACGGGAAGTGACTTATCCTTGAAATATGAAGTATTGTTAAATGGGGAACACACTTGGGATGCAAGTGATCAACCAAACCTCTGCAGGACACACTCAGCCCCACAAATACCCCCACTCTGCAGAAGCTCCTGGCAAACTCCTGGTATCCAAAGCGTAGGCAGCAACCTGCTGCAGCACAGCCCTCACTTCCTAGGAACCAGTGAGCTCTTGATTGAGATGATTCCTTGATTAAATCCATCAAACTCACCTCCTGCAGGCACTGGCATGGTGGATTCCACATTTCTAACCAGTTGAAAACCCCAACTCATTCTTTTTTTTTTTTAATTATTTTTTGGTATTATCAACCTCTCCCAGTCTGACAGATGTTCTGCTTCCCTTTTTCTATAAGATTTTTCATTCAAGTTCAGTCAGTGATCAAGGATCTGGATGCTGCTAGACATGTTAGAATCATAAAATCATTTATAAAATGAATGATTAAAGGTCATTTTCTTTATTTAAAAGACTCTTGAGATCATAACTTCATCACCTCTGATACACATCACATCACAATGTCTTGCCACAAGTTGCCTTTTTCTCCCTTCAGTTTATGACCAAACACTTGATGTAATTTTTCCCAACTTCTTAAGGCACAAAGCAACTGGACAACTAGTCAGACAGAGCCTGCTACCAGCCTTATCACAGTTTTGGGACAAGTTAAAAATTAAAAATAAAATAATTTGTAAAGGGATTGGCCCTCCATGGAAAGGGATAAGTGGAGCAGCCTGTTGTCCTGGATCAGGAGGTGTGGGACAGGGGCTGCTCAGTGCAGATAGCTCAAGTGCTCCCATACGGGGACAGGGAACGCAGCAAAGGAAGACCAGAGGCAGCTCTCTGCTCTGATGCCTCACCCTCTGAAGCAGGTCTTAGGTGCATTCTGTGGGAATGTTGAATGTACTCTGCAGTTTTGGGGTCTCCAGTGCACTCTCTGCCACCAGCCCCCCCAGCCACTGTATTTCCATTTGTTTCTCACTTGCTCCACAAGTGCTGGATTTTCAGAAAAACACATGGAAAAAGAAACTGGCAAAGCAACAAGGTTTGTCCAGCACCCTGCAGAAAGAGGGTCAAACCCTGGCAGAGAAACCATCACCAACTTAATAGGGACTGGTAGTCCTTGCTGTTTCCAGATGCTGGGCTCAAAGGCATCTCAGGGCTGACTTATCTGCCTGCCCACAGATCTCCTCAGAAATAAATAAATGCTGGTGTGAGCGATGGTTTCCAAACTCAGCTCAGAAAGTTTTACGATGGGTTGAGCCTCCTGTGAAGCATCACCAAGGCAGATCTTCATTGTAACATGGCTGGGAGGAAACGGCCAAAATCTTTACTGAAGAAATTCACAAGTTTTCCAAAAACAAAATAAAGTAAGAGGAGAAACAAAGAAATAATTTAATATGCCACCCACAACTGCCTGGAAAGTTCAGTGATTCAGTTACAGAAATTGCTCAGAGGGGCATCCAGGGCTGAAAAGGCAGGAGGGAGCAGTGGTCACTTATCTTTGCAGAGGGTAGTGGATTGGGGGAAGCACTGCTCATAGATAAAAGCTCATGTTTAATGTTTTTATCAGGGCTGTGCTGTTTCTCTGGTTGTTAGTTAGAGCTCACAGGGGATGGAGGAGGTGCACAAATCTTAAAAGGAATACAAAATCTTTTTCTGCCTGATTTTTTACAAAATAAATAATTTTTAAATAGGGAAAACCAGACACAAATCACTATCCAGACTCTCCCAAATGCTGTGTGTGGGTCCAGCCTGTGTGGGCAGCGTGCCTCCTGCAGTCCTGGCAGGAAGCACCTTGGCAGCCACCCCGGCCCCCAGCCCCGGCACAGGAAGGGCAGAGCCATTTCTCACTGACAAAGAAAAACAAGTCCCAGCCCTCTGCTCCGGAACCAGGCAGGCAGAGGCTGCTCCACCTGCTCCACTGGCACATTTCAGAACTGGCCATCACACCCTGACAGAGCCACAACCGCCCTTCTTCCCCCTCCATCCATGAAACCTTTTGCCTCGCCCCAAACTCTCCTCAGTGGAAACCACAATATAGGGTGAACAAAATTGCACAGGTCATCCACAAATTTGGTAGGATTTAGATTTATTTGCAACCTTGGCTACATCCCAAAGCTGCACAGCTCAGCTATCACCCCAGGAGTCTCCATCCTAAATAATGTTTGAGAGTGGACCTTCCCATCACCAGTTCACTCTTTTTTTTTTTCAACCAGCTTTCTATCTCTGATGCTCATAGTGCCATTAGTGCTATGGAACATGGGTGAGTGCTGCAGGAAAGGGGGACAGGAGATCAATCAGCTCAGTGAGGTTACTTACCACTAAATACAGCATGGTGTACAGGGAGAAGGACGCGTGCCCGGAGAAGAAGGATTTCCTGCAAAACAAAGCAGGTGCTAAGAACCAGCCAGCAAAAGCTTCAATATTATAATTTAAATACAATACGGTGACTCTCCTGCCTCTACTGAGGGTGCCAAAGCAGAAGGATCCACAACATCCAATCCTTTGGGTTATAAAACCCCCACAACCCCCAGCCTTTAGGTTATAAAACCTGTGTTATCCGCCCTGCTTGCTCATGAGGCAGAAAGCGAACGGATGGACAGGATGCTTGCATTGTTTGTCCCTTCCTGGTCTACTCGTGGGACAGCAGTTATTTCCAGGATAACCCGATAACTCATCATCTTGCCTCAAATAACCAGGAAACTGTAAAGAAATAAGAAGTAAGCGACTTCTCCGGTCGCTTAATTGCAGTATGTGAAATGTGTCCCTGGAAAAGTCAAAACTGACCATCTGATGGATTTGATAGAGAGCTCGAAGGGGAGGCACAGCAGCCCTGCCTGTCTGGTGGAGCCTTTCTGAAGGAGAAGGTCTCTGCTCCACCACACAGGACAGCTCAGGCTGTTCACCATGAGCTCAGCTCATAGGGTGAATTCCCACACTGAGCAACAGCTCTGGGGAACAATAGTGTAGGAGTAAAGGGAAAGAAATATTATTCAGCCAAGTGCCACACTTCCCAAGGGAAACTGCCGGTCACTGGAAAACAGATTTATGGCCTTCAGAGAAAAAGTAGCATTTCATAGAATGACCAAATGGTTTGGGTTGGAAGGGACCTTCAGGATCATCTAGTTCAAACCGCCTGCCATGGGCAGGGACACCTTCCTCTAGACCAGGTTGCTCCAAGTCCCGCCCAACCTGGCCTTAAACACTTCCAGGGACGGGGCAGCCACAGGTTTTCTGGGCAACTTTTGCCAGTGCCTCACCACCCTCACAGGGAAGAATTTCATCCTAATATCTAATCTAAACATGCACTCTCTCAGTTTCAGATTTGAATCAGCTATTGCTGACAGAGAAGCTCCTGAGACACCTTTAGTGGCAGCAACTCATCGCTTCAATGCCACTTTGGGCTCTCACCTGGCTTCCTGGACCCTGCTGTCGTTTCCCCTGCAGGTGTAGTTCTGGATGTAAACTCCCTTGGCGCAGTTGATGACGGAGAAATCCACGTCACAAACTGCCAGGAAATGTGGCCGCAAGCGCCCGACGGACACTTTGGCAATGTCTGTGAAGGACTGGCTGATGGCGCAGCCGAAAACAAAGCAGCCCACTTGCTTGTAGAGCGCTGCCACGTAGGGGTTCTGGATAAAGGAGCGGGATTTCTCCTTCAGGTAGTGGATGCGGTAGAGCTCTCCTGTTATAATCTGTGGAGGAAACAGAGAGGTTAGAGAGCAGGAAAAGTGCTGTGCAGGACCCCTGATGCGTGTAAATGCAGGGCTGAGATATCTCTTTGTGCCCTGAGCATCTCGAACCAGGAATCTGCTCCCTCAAGGAGGAAGGAGAACCCACAGCTCAGTGTCTCTCCATGCTCCTCTTCTGCCCTCTCAAGAAGAGATTGCAATGCTCAGAATGTTGTTTATGGAAAAATCCGATACACAAAAACAAGGTAGATTTTGCATTAGCACATTGGCATAGTTTTAAAGAAGTGAAATAGCACCCCAGAATAGTGGGGGGAAACATTAACATCAGTGAGATAAAGAATCAGTTTGTATTGGGAAGGAGAGGCCAGATCCACTACCCTCTTATCAAACTGATTTTGGGAGAAAGTAAATGAACAACCTGCTTATCTTACTCTCTTAAAATCATGAACACAACAAGGGAAGAACCAGAATGTCGCAAACTTCATATTCTGGCCTAAAACTTGCTGCCACCAGACCCAATTCAAACCTCTCGAAGCCTTCATAAACGCCAGTATTTCAAGGCATTTCAAGGGGTCTTGCATTTGCGTGGCAGCAAATTATGTTTTTCTTGTGTCGGGGGTGCTGAGGTTGGACAATATCGCCATAAATCACTGTCAGGGAGCAGAGGACCCAACTTCTCACATTCATGACTCTTAAAAGGCAGGTTAATGAAAATCAGGCTGTGAAATGAAGTCCAAATGTCTCACCTCTCCCAAAGAGGCAAAGGTTCAAATTGTTCTCCGTCACGCTACACACCTAAGTTTTAAGCTCCAGATTTACAGCTTTAGGATTTTATTCATTACTTTAAATGTTTTTATACCTGAGTAATAAATCGAGGTAGAGGATTTTTTTTGGGTGCCCCCTTGTCCCTGCTTCTCTCTAGTCATGGCAACTATGATATGTAAAATTAACTGTCAGGAAAAATGCCTTCATGTTAATCCCTTTCTGGAGCAGCCAGCAATATTCCTCCTGGTGTGGCAGCCTGCCAGCTGTAAGCAGCAGACGAAGCTCCCCTGCCTACCTTTTTTAAAAGCTTGGCACAGCCCTTGGAAACTAATAAACTGGAAAAGTATGGCAATTAGACTAAGAGGAGATGAAGCTGTATCATTGTTTGAACTCACTCGTACCAGGGCTTGAAAAAACAAAGGTTGACCTAAGGCAGCTGAAATTGCAGCTAAGCAAGCTTTATCAAAGAGAGATACAACTAGAATAATAAAAAATAAAGGCCAAGCTAGAGTGTGCTCTGCTACCATGCACAGGAAAGCTTTGGGTGGCTGCACCATCATTTAGGAGTTTACATGTCACAGCTGAGATTTACTCTTGGAAATCTGTCAGTGACCAAGAGTTGTTTAGGCAGCTGCAGCTAACCAGCTACAGCATCATTTTAATTCTCACAGTCTCCAAAGACCATGGTTTATCTCCATTTTGGACCATTTTCCAGTACAAGCTGGCAAGCCAGGAAACTTACTGGCATGAGGACTGCAGGGTCAGGTTGTCCTGGACGCACACAGAGGCTCCTGTACGAGGTCAAAGCACCACTTGCACTCCTGAAAGCCTAAATTCACATGAAGGGGAGCTAAGAGGCTCAAAACTCATGGCTTTCACAGGGGGGAGATGAGACAAACTAAGGATGATATCTCATACTGGCAGATGTGCCATTACTCCAAACTCACAAACACGTAAACCTGAGGCTCTTGGTCTTGGAAAGGCATGTGACCATTTTAAACAGGGACCAACAAAGGTTCGGGGATTAATATTTTTCTCTCACTGTTGGTGGTCTGGGTAATTGCACACATGTAGCAGATTGTAAACTGGAGCCTTCATTCCCTCACTAACACGCTGCTGGGTACCTATGAACCCTCCCCACTCAGTGAAAGCCATGGCTCAACCTTAATGAGAAGGTAAAAATTGGGTAAACTTGTTTTTTTGGCAGCCATGTCCCAGATAAAGCAGGACGGTGAAAAACTAACGCAGCACAGATGTGCAAGGACTGGAAGGACATCCTGAAAAGAAAACAAGTTTTAAAGATATTAAGCTCTTCTCATGCCTCACATTTCTGGCAAGCCATCCACATGGGACATATGCCATTCCCAGGTGATGGGCACAGCTCCCAGGGACTGTCTCACACATTTAAGAAAGATGGTCACTAGAGAGAAGCCAATATCAAACTTTTCTATCAGTGAATGCTTTTTGCAGACTTTTGGTTGTCATGCCCATTTTATTCTTATTATAAGCAATTCAATGAGCCTATAATTACTTTTAGAGCTTTTCTAGTCACTTATGTCTCTAGCGTAACGTTCTCTGTGCTAATCACATTGGTGTATCACCTTCAACTGTAAAACACCCAGCTAACCCAGCTGTGTAACGTAGATCACCTAGGAAATTAATTTTCCTAGGAATATTTCAAGGGCTTTCAGGTGTGGGGACACAGGAGACCACAGCAGTGGTAGCTGTATGAGGCTCAGGAATAGAAGAGTGTCACCTTCCCCTGGCCATCCAAGGGACCACCAACATAAAATTTACAATTTCCCAGCATGAAGAGCAGTCAGGAGATATGTGAGAGTGCACAGCTCAGAGGCACGAGCCTATCCAGTGTCATCTGCACAGAAATTTGCCTGAAGTCAGTAAATATACAGATATTAAAACCAAATGTATATCCTCTCACATCCTGATTGAAGCCAAGGACTCATCTCTGCCGTTTACTTAACAAGCTCTCTGGGTGTCCTCAAGCCACTTAAAACATGACCTGGACCTTTTACCCCAGGCTACACTGCCTGTGACGCCACATAAAGCAAGGGCGTGAAATTTTGGCTGCCCCATCCCAAATGCCAGCTCCGAAGTACTCACAACCACCGTCCTGCCTTCCGAAGGCAAATGATGGGAGCGAAAGGAGCAGAGTCAGTGCTTTGTGGATTTGGAAGGAATTCCTATTATGCTACAGTAATTCTGGTATCTGGGTTACATCTGAAAAAAGAGGTCAGGCTGACTTGAATTTTCCATGCAGGCTGCCTTAGCAAAGAAATCTGTTGCTTCAATTCCTCGTTAGCCATTTGTGTCACTCAGCAGCAAATAACTGAGCTTTTGAATTTACCTTATTAAGTTACATTTGTTGTGGGCACAGTGAAACCAGGGCAGAAACATCAAATTCTTTGGGGATTTTCTTTCTCTTTTAATTGACCTGCTATTTCGTGGTAGAAAGTTGATGGATCACATAGGCAGCTGATTATGTTTCCAGTCTCTGTTCCAACTCCTATATTTGCCACTGCCTCATTACAGATCAGAAGAGCACTCCACATGGAGCTGGCGTGCCGATAGCTCAGGCAGTAATGCAAAAATGAGAGGCTTTTTCATTTTGTTTTTATGGCTTTTCCACACTTGGGGGTTATTCACCTGCAGGGTAAAATTCTGCTGTGTTTATAGAATTGGGGGTTTGGCACCTTTTGGGCTTGCTTTGGGAAGGGAGGGGGCATAGGAACAGAGCAGTTTTGGGGACCTGCTTTGCTTAGTGAGTGTATGTGGTCAGGAGATGATGGAGAGATCAGGAAGTGATGCAGATATTCATGTCAGGAAGCAGCAAGGCTGAGGATGGGGTATTACCAGAACAGGCACTGTGCCATCCTAAAATATCTATTGCCTGTGACATTTTTCCTATGAGGAAAGACAGAAGCTACAATGAGAACAAGTATTCTGACCTCTCCCATCACCATCCCTCCCAGCTGAAGGACTGAGAGGAAGGCAGCGTCACTGGGAAAGCACCTGAGCATTTCTGGCAGCAGGTGAGAAGGAAAATATAGGTACTTTTCACAGGAGAATTTCATCTCAGCTGGAAGCGTTTAAGCAACAACCAGGAGACAGCTCTTGTCTTCTGCCCCAGGTACATGCTGGCATAAAGACACTCAACTCTGTGAGCTGAGTTCAGCATTTTGGCTGACACTGAAAGCTCTCACCATGCAATCAATTCAGGTCTAGGGAAACTGTCAGGAAAAGGAAAACGAAGAGACATTGGGAAGGTGGTGCATTACCTACTTTTTACAATGAGGACTCTGGGAATATGCTCCCCATGGAAGGTTTTAATTGTCATTTGAAAATGGCTGTAATATGCAATCTCTTAAAAACCTAATACTAACCTGTTAAACTTTTCCAGGCACTGGTTAGCTGAAAAGATGTATCCTTTCTTTGTTTTTTAAACCTTATGAAATAGGCAAATACCAAGAGTGATTTTAATAGGGACAAACTATGCCAAGTCCTTACTGACACTCAAGTGTTTTTGCCTCTACTCTGAACTCCTACCGGAGGGTGAAAAAGCTCTTGTGAAGCTCACAGACTTGCCCAAACAGCTTTGGGCCTGTTTACGGGCTTCAAGACTAATCTCATTCCTCTCATTACATGCTTTCATTTGCAAATGTTTGCTGCCATGCTTACAGTGAAGTCAAATCATTGCAGTAGATCCTGTGAACACACTGGTAAGACGGTGTTAAACTCCCCTGCTGACGGGATGTTGGTGCTAAAAGAGGTGACAAAAAAGCCCCTCAAGGGACAGAAGAGGAGATTTCAGAGGTGCTACTTACAGCGAGGATGGCGATGAGGATACCTGCAGCACACAGCACTGCATCGTTGATAGTCTCCACATTCTTCTGTGGGTACCTGATGCTTTCATCGTCGCAGTAGAAGCCCCGCTGGTAGGGCTGGATTGTGCTCGTTTCAATGATGAGGAAGGGCAACCCAGCTACAAAGAAAGGGGGAAACAACCAAACCCATTATCAATACAGGCAAACACAAGCAGCTCACAAAAAAAACTCAACTAGAAAACCCCTTGCAAACCACGCAGCACTGTTCCTGATCCTTGTCTTTCCATATTCCTATCTTTCCAAAGGGAATAGGTTTGGGATTTGTTTTTCCAAGTCGGTCTTGCGGGGAAAAAGCATCTCCTCTGTTATGGTTATCAGATGTCTGTGCAGCCTGGTTTCAGTTAAGCCTTGTGCACTGCAAATATTAACTTACAGGAACAGACCCCTGAAGCAATCCCTCTGCAAAAGGCCATGAAAACTAATCTGGCACTTTTCTCTAGGGAGGGCCCGATGCTCTGCCGAGCGCCCTGTGGCCGGGCAGCCCAGAGCTGTGCAAACAAACACTGGAGGATCGAGTATCTGTATGGCTTCTACCTGGTCAGCCCAGCTACACTCCAGGCCCATCACTTTTATGCCTTTGAAGCCTTCCTTGGCTCACTCCTCTCTGTATTTACAGGGTATATGTGTGTTTGTACCTACTCATGCAACAAGTATGTGCCTTGAGCAGCTGTGGGATACCCATCCTTGACCCACCCATGCAAGGACCAGCCCCTCCACAAGAGCCAATGGAGTCCCATCAGAACCTGTTCACCTTCAATCACAATAAAGCCATGTGAAATCTGTTTTTTAAATGCTATTTGTGAACCCTCTGTGCAGGATTTCCTGCATCTGCACAGCTTGGCTGGACCTTTGCACCAGGCAGGGGGCAGATCTGCTCAAAAACATGAGGCTAGGACATACAGTGAAGGGAACACCAGGAAATTGCTGGAAATGTCTGTAACTCCAAGTTCTTATAAGTTTTTCAGAGAAATACAGCCTTGCCTCAAAACTAGAAGGAGAACCCTAGGGTGTTTCCCAGCCACAATGTCACCTTGGGCAGGGCACCCTCCTTCCCTTTGCCTCAGTTTCCCCATCCACCTTTGCTATTAAGCCCATCACTGAGAGGAGCACTACATCCCCACCAAAATAAGCCCCAGATTCCCCGAAACCCACATTCAGAGTAATCACAAACCACAAGGTACAGGAAACCCTCCTCCCACTTGCAGAGCGAAACCCAGGTAGGGGGAAAAACAAATGCACAGTGGTTCAAGCTGTCCTTGGGCCAAGACAACAGGTCTCACGCCCAGATCCTACAGAAAGCACTGGGGAATACTTGTCGACCACTAACTTGCTTAAGTATCTGTGGGTTTGTTTACACAGCTAGAAGTCAAAGACATCAGAGGGTTTTCCCTTCTAAAATTAATAAAAAAGGAAATAAAAAGTGAAGTGCTGTTGGGTTTCACCCAAATTTGTTCACAATACATTTATAGTGAACACAATCTACTAGATGTGATTAGCAAGGGCATCATCCAGGTTGCTACAAAGTGTCATCGAAATAATGTTCCACATGTTCTCCACATGAACCACTCTCTGGATCTCACTTTGCGCAATCCCTTTTGGCTCCTCTTCCTGTATGGTAATAGGTTTGCCTAATCCAGGATTACTACAAGGTTTTCTTAGTCTTAAGAAAAAGGAAAAACTCCATCACCTGTGAGCAAGGACAACACACACAAATATGAAGCTATTCAGGGAGCCGGCAGCGGTCAAGGCCACTGCTCAGGGCTCCTTTCAGATCCTCTCTAAAAGCTCTGGAAGTAGGTTAATTGCAAATTCTGGGCTCCGTGGTGCTTGGCAAGGCAGAATAGTTTCCACCACATGTGTGAACCAGCGAGGAACAGTTTCAGAACTGCCTGCCCAGCTCAGATTTGGTAAATAAAATCGGACATCTCGCGTGAATCCAGTTGATCTTCATTCCACTATTTAACTGTTTTGATGCCCGGCCAGCTTGGCCCCAAAACGCACCTCTGATGCCAGCAATCCCATATTAATAGGCCACTTAAAAAATCTTTAAGTTTCCAAATGAAAAATGGCAGGAGAAGCGCTAAGGCCGCTCGGCGCGATCCGATTTCACACGCGCTCGGAGCGGCAGCGTAACAGTTGAACTCGGGGAGTAGACATGCCACGGTTACGTGGCTTATTGTTATTCCTCCAGTTCCTCTTGTTAATAGCTTTCACATGACAGGTCTGTAAAACACATGTTCCCACAGACAATAAAATACATCTGAAAGCTAAAACTGGTTTAAAAAAAAAAATTAAAAAAAAAAAAAAAAGACAATAGTGTTCCTATATATTATGTGAACCCAGGAATAATAAAGATTTGTTTTCTCTTCATTCATTGAACAGCATGGGGTAGTATTTCCGCGATTCAATTATGTGTACACTTGCCACAGCTATAATAAGAGCATAAGTGACCTATATGGGACACATTTTCACAAAGCACATAGGCATAGTTTAGAAAATCCAATGGGTTTGTTTTCTCTCCTACAAACTTGTGGTTTAGTGGGATATTGCCAATCAAGTCTTGATATTTTTCCAGCAAAACAGTAACCTCAGATTACCTTTTTTTTTTCCCTTCCCCTTTTTTTAAAATGAGAAACATAAACACACTCTCCATACCTAAACGGATATTACTTATAAGACATAACATGCCTTTAATTTTGAGGGCTGGGTGAGAGGCTGCTCTTTCACCCAAGGAAGAGAAGACCCCAGCCCATGGCAAACAGTAAATCATGCTCAAAATGGCTCTTCTTCCACAAGGTTATTTCTTGGAGGATGGGTTGTCTAAGGGACTAGGTCACTGCTCACATTTTTTTTGGCAAGGGGGTTGCAGCACAGAGAAACTTGTACCAGTACCAAAAGACAGCCAGAGTATGGGTTTTGCAAAAAAAAACTCTACAGAGGGAAGTCTGGAAGAATTAAATGCCGAGAGAGATGCCCTTGGAATCCCCAGCAAAACACTAGAGACATCTCCTTCACACTAGGAGATCTGCCAGAGGCAAAGGTATCCAGAAGTGGGGCTACAGCCCACACATCTTGGAAATGGAAGGCAGGCCGTAAAGGTGTAGGGTTGTACTGTGAAGATGAAACATCTGTCCCCATCACCTTTTCTGCCCCAGTCTGCCTGTTGGATTCAGCATTATAGTAGGAAATTCAGACTGTGCACCCCTGGCTGCAGGGATTTGGATGTAGAGATTCAACAGCCAAAACCCATAAAGCTGCTAAGTCTTCCCACCCCTATACATGGTACAAAACTATTGAGAATACAAGAGGTACATTTCAGAAAACAGTAATTAATGGTGATTTGCACTGAACAACAGAAATACAGGGCAGGCAAAAAAAATTACACTGATTTTGGGGATAGTCGCCCTTCTCTGAAAATAATCCTGCCCCCTTATTACTGATATCTCCATGCTAAGAAACGACATAGCAGCCTGTGGACCATGTCCTAAAGCATGGGGGCAACACTGGTACATCCATATAGAACTGTGCAACCAGGGAAGGGCTGCTATCCCCACCTCACAGACACAGGAAACTAAAGCATAAAACAAAGGGATTTGCTTATTCATACGTATAAAAGGTAAACGGAGCTGAAATTACCTTCTGAACTCTAACATCATTCACAAGGTGAAGGAAAGTTTTTTTCGTTATACAAAGGGGATTTTTTACTTTAATAAAAGAACAAGGGAATCCCAACCACAATCTTTCATCCAACTATGCTGTAGGAGATCAAACACAGTTCCAAACCATGAACATAATAGAAATCTCTTGAGGACTGATCCTGCCCTATCCAAACAGGCTCAGCCCTGCTCCAAGTGTCATGGAGCAGGTGTGGACACTAAAGAATTGTGCAAGGCACTGCTGGGTGCTGTGGGACTGGACATTGAAAAATGATTGTTGGGAGGAAGTCCAAGTGACTTGTGACCTCTAACCGCTGGTGTCCTACACTAAGGTATTTCAGAGCAGGGTTTAAATTTACTTGTCTTTCCATTTAATAAAGCCAATCAAGTTTGGAAATCTAGCACCAAGGAAAAAATATTCCTTTCTCTGGTCAGCACCTTTATTAAGAGGCAATTAATAGGCAATAATCCTGGGAAGGCTGGCAGCATGAAAGGTAAAACCCCACCACCAAGCCTAAACAAAACCCCCGTGTACTCTCTGACCAGCCTGAAATGTGCATAAAATCAAAGGCAGGAGAAAAAAGGGCTCTGTGTTGGGTACAGCACTTTGAATCTCAGTCTTTGAAAATTTAACACTTGTGCAGATTTAATGGGGAAAAAAATTTAAAAGGGGATAAGCTTTCATTGGCCACTCATCAAAAAGCAGAAGGAGCGGAAGGCAGGAGGCATTTCTGCAGCGACCCACCCATGCCACTCTCATCTTCCCAGCCCAGCCTTCACCTTTGCACCAAATTAAACACCATCACTGCCTTTTTCTTTCTAAATGTTTGGTTTTGATGGAGGTTGGTTTTTTTCCTCCATTAAAGCTTTCTTCTTTCAACCCTGCAGGTCAGTGGGATGGTGCTGGCTATCTCAACAAAGCAATGGTAATTTCTAACAAGCATTCCATGATGTGTTTGCCTGCCTGTGTCCAGGTCCTGGGTGTTCTTAAGGTTTCGGTAGATTAGACATCCACCTTAATAAAGTGAAAAAGACCATTAAATAATTTGGCAGGGCTGAGTGGAGTCTCTAATTCCTCATTTAAATCACACTCTGTAAATATTTGGGTACCTACAAGAGATAGGCTTTCTATTTGAAGTACTTAGTGGCTGATCTTGGGAACATGTAAACTTTATTTGGTTTACAATACTTGTACATATTTAAAATGCATAAAAACTAGATTAGCCTACGGTAGGCTTTTATTGGGGCTTTAAAAGTTGGCTTCCCCAACTTGTAGAGAGGAATTGCAGCACTACAAGACCAGCCTTGGCATCTGCTATAAGAGTGAACAGCTCTTGCAGCCAATTTACATTGTATGTATTGTATATATATATATACACACACACAAATAAAATGTAACAACCCAAAGAATAGAAGTATTTCCACATTTTCCACATTTCCACCATATCA